ATGGAGCTCATGGAAGAGTTCTAGGTAAGTATGTCGGAGACAATTTTAAAGAAACGGGACTTGCAAAATGTGCAATGCACAAAACGTACACCTTAAACTTTATCGTACATTATAACACTGATCGAATTAGCTTTAGAGATTATCAAAAGGTTAATTTATCGTCAAAATATAAAAAATCAGTCAAAATCAGTAATCAGTAATCAGTTGCAAAATTACCGAGATTGCGGAATATCGTACCTATGATGCGCTGACATAAGAGCAGGATAGGTTCCCAGTACTTAGGCGCGACTTCCTATCACTCAAATGGACCGTTTTGACAGATTAGCGGATACGGCGGCTAGTTATTAATAATTACTCAATAATAATATTCTTTGTACTGTACAAGAAGCAGTCCAACAAATGTTTTTTGGGAGTCATTCATCCCTATCAAGCTTTCTCAAGATTCTTTTGCCGTTTTTTTGGAGCAAGTTTTGAAGGTGGTTTTGGTCCTCTTAAAAAAATGCCTATACGTAGAAATGATGTACCAAAATGTTCCTGAAAGAGAGGAGAATAAGCATGTTTTTATGTATGCTCATTGTTTACAAAATTAGGCTCCCTGTCTTAAGTAAGCATGTTTAGATACCATCCTGATGTCGCAGCACCGAGAGAAAGAGAAAGAAAAACACTTTAAAATCATTTTTCAGGTCATCGTGGTACACAAATAAGATTTGTGACTTTTAGCCCCCCCCCCCTTTCCCGAGACAACTGTGCCTCAGATTTTCTTCCGTTCAACTGATGTCTGATGCAGTTATCTCGAATGCTGTAATAAAACTAGACAAACCCATACAACAAAACAATTCGGAACTTCAGCACTTAACCCCTTCTCTTTCTGTTGCCGTGCGCTCGCTTGTATACATATATTACCTGCATAAGTTAAGCCCTTTTTTAAGGCTTTATAGGTAGTACGATATATTCACAATAATTTTAAAACTGCGCATCGTTGAGATTAAACCAAGACAAGCGGCTGTTTCGTCGGTAACACCTTGTACTGCGCCGCCGCGCGCGTCCCGGGCAAACAGCGCAGCGCGCGGATCTGCCTCAGAACGGCCGGCTCCCCATCCCCCGATGGTTTTTCCCGTTTCACGCCTTAAATATCGATCCCACAGAAAAATTCATAGGAACCATTTTTGTTCCTGATAAAATTTCCTATCGTCCTGCTTAAAAAAAATTACGCTAACATTAGCCGTTCAGTAGTTATTCAAAATTCAAAATTTGGGGGCCCCCCAGCCCCCCCAGGGAGCTCAGATTTTTGGGGTCTATGTCTGAATCGAATGTCTATAGGGTAGAGATGAATCCCTGAAATTTTCATGCTTTCTTCCAGAAGTGCACGATTGTTATGCTTATCGGCCCCACTACTAGATTACCCGTAACATGTACAAAACAGGTGGGATGAAATCAAAACTTACTGCTCCATTCCCACGACTGAATTTTTACATTATGCTTAGAATGTGCATTACCTCAACTATTTTCCAATTTGAGGATGATCACTACAAACAAATTCGAGGTCTGGGGATGGGTAACAGCGTTGCTGCAGTCTTGGCTGACTTGGTAATGGAGGAGTTTGAAAATTCTTTACACAATGAGTCTCTGTTTTTCATGTTCATTTACCGGAGATTTGTTGATGATTTATTCCTACTTTTTACATTTTTTTAAGCTTCTGCTCCAGTTGAAAATGGGCATGTAATTGGCCCGGAACGTCCTGGTTTGTTTTATCTCTCCTTAGCCCTGTATACCCATTTGTTTTTTGTTTTTTTTTTTTTTTGTTTGTATTTTAATGCGTTTTTATTGATACACCAATTGATAAATGAATGAAAAATCTACGAAATGGCAGCCATTGGTGGATCCAGCAATTTGGCAACACCGGGTTTCCTCCATTGAAACCTAACGAAATGTATCGATTCTTGGAGGGGCCAGGTGCTTCGACAAGAATCGATTATTTAGCATAGGTTTCAATGGAGAAAGTCCGGTGTTGCCAAATTGTTGGTTCGGCCTCTGATGAAAAATCCACGAGATGGCAGCCGCGGGACGGAAGACTCGCGCAGAGCAAATCGTCTAAGTTCCGATCATACTGGCCTCCTCGAAAAGGAAACTTGAGCTATTGCCCTCAGTGGCGTGGCGTGCTTTGCGATTTATCGATTGGTCTGCCATTTAAACCCACGAGAAAGGATCGATACACAGGGTGTTCGCAACGAACACTCCAATGATCGATTCTTTATCATAGCCTCAAATGGGGAAATATCGATAGTCGATCGTCCACGCCGCATCGCCATCGCGATCGTGCATTTCTAGGAGTGAGAGAACTGGAGGCATTTATTGCTTTGCGGTGTCTTTAAGGAGAATCGTGGCACGATCCGGGGGAGGCAATTCTAAGAGGGCCAGGAAAAAGAAGACATCAACTCTGCCGTGCTAAGGGAACACGCCGTATGAACATTCAAGCGTTGCCAAGATTCCTTTGATAAAACGTGAATTTCCTGGTAAACGTTTGAATATTTCCCTTCCAATTTTCAGATAATTTTGTTCCCAATTTCACCCAAAGTTTCTGAAAATTTCAAGGAAAAAAATAAATAACTTTCCTCAAAAATAAACATTTTATCGAAGGAAATTTGGCAACTCTCGAGTGATCATACGGCATTCTTCATTAGCACGGCAGAACTAACATCCATGCTTTTCCGTGTGACTCTAACAAAACGTATCAATCCTGGATCAAATGGTTCACAGATGAGTCTCTGAAAGCACCGCATTTCTCACTTTTCCTTTCATTGCTCCAAATCTGAATCAGTGTAACTCCTCAATTCGAAAATTGACGATCTACCAACTTTCAATATTTTAAGTATTTAAAGCATACAAACTTTCTAATAATTTTTTGGGAAAAGTCACGGAAAGAAATTTTTTCTTATTATGATAATTTCCCGACGAATTTTCGTCATCGATTGGTCTATCTATTTTAAACTTCGTCTGAAATGCAATTTTCAGCGTTTTTCAGGTATATTTTTTACTATATCATCAAATAAGACCTTGTCCATTATAGAGTCCTCATGGCCGCAAAGTGATTAGAAAAATTCGCACCACGACAGATCGAAGCCCTCTACTATTCCAAACTAGCGTTTCATCCATAACTTCGGTGCGAAATGTCATTGTTTAATGGCCTTATGTTTAACATCTGGCCTCATGGACAGTATGAAAAGTAGTAAAAATGGAATTAATTATTCATAAAAACAAACGAAAGAAAAGGACAATATAAAGGGAAAAGAATCTTGGATGAATACAGTGAATTTGCAATAGATTGAAGTTCATAAATACAATCGAAAAGATTAGATTGCTACTTTTGCCTAAGTAGATAAAATCTCGCTACAGGGCCAAAGTTAAAAGGCAGCCAGTGTTTTAATCGTGAAGCGCAAACAAAACAGAGAAAATGTTTAGTTAAGTAAACCTTACATTTATGCCGCTCCACTAACTTTGATCGAAACGATACGCGATGTAGGGAACTTATCAGGAGATATTCTCCTAGCCTGAAGCTCGCCTTCAATTTCGCAGTGTAGGCAACAAACCTAGCAAAGAACACAAATAGTTGCCTATTCGAAAAACACATTAACCTCGCTGCATGCTTTGACTGGCTTCACCAACTAATATGCGATGTGCGATTTTGTTTGCCGCGTAGGCAGAAATCCTACCAGAGAGCCCGAATAGTTATGTGGTCGCAAAACATCCATTTACTATTGTTCAAAAGCATGGATTCATCAGGTAATGCGTTAATCCACGGTGACCGAGAAAAACTGCCCGTAGACGTGCACAACTTGAAAGAGTTTGTTACAAACTACGCAGATTGCGCACTAAGGATTCAATTCTAGATTTTTTCGACGTGTCCAACGTCATTTTCGTGCGATTTTATCCATGAAGAGTGTATCTAATTGGCTGTATCTCTTGCGTGCAACAGACGCATTTCAGAATGTCCATACGGCATTTCTCCTCAGCCTCAGCATGGAAGTTTAATACTTTTCACAGAATGAGCAACACTAATACTGCCGTGCTAAGGAAGAACGCCATATGAACATTTGAGAGTTGCCAAATTTCCCTTGATAAATCATTTATTTTTACGACATTCATGCACATTTTTCTTTGAAATTATCAGATATATTTATAGATTAAATTGCATGCGAAATGGTCTAAAAATTTTGGAAAAAAATATTCACAATTTTCCCTGTAAATTCGGTTTTTATCGAAGGAAATTCGGCAACGTTTAAGGGCTCATACGGCGTTTTTCCTTAGCACGACAGAGTAAGCGTCTGGGTGGAAGGTAGAGGCCCCGAGATGGAGTTGGGAGTCGGGACTCGGGAGTCCTCAAGGTCCTTCTATGCCGACCAGAGAACGCCACGTGTGATTGCAATTTACAATGGGTGCTACACTCCTACAATCCTTTTCTGGTCTCGATTGCTCTCGAATGGAAATTCGAACAGTTTATGAGGAAGGTGGCTTCAACTAGGCATATGTGAGAAATGACTCTCTTCAGTTCTCTCTCTCGCAGATTACCAGGATTATTGTTACAATTTTGCGAATGGGCTCTTGCTTATGGTTTTCACATGTATTTATCTTTTTTTGGACATGTCACACGAGATATTTTCGAACTTTTTGAGAAAACACTCAGAGCCGGTAGTAATTTTTTATTAGAAAAAAAGAAAACAATTGAAATTGATATTTCAGAAATCAACAGAGGGCAGATTTCGTGTTTTTTTATTTTATATTCCAATGGGTGGCTCCTTAAAAATGTAATTTTTATTCGGCTTCCATGATAAAATTCTGAATATTTAATGCAAAATGGGGCTTCCCAGTAAAAACTGGACTTGGAAAATGGACGTTGGAATGATTCTCAATCAACTGAAACTACTAACTGCCTGGAGGGAGGGGGGGGGGCGGAGGGGAGGGATTGTCGTCAAAAAGAAAGAAAAGAGATGACGAAAGTTTACCTGTATTAGGATGGCTTTCCTCGATTCCGGCTTTGCGCCGAAATTCATGTCAGTCGTCATCGTGGTAAAATTCTCCTGTAAAACAGAGAAGAAGAAAAATTATTAAAGATAAGAAAATTTTGAAAATTTAAATGTTCAATAACATTAATTTACGTAAAGATGAAACATAAGAATTCGTACGATCTAGCGAGTAATTTAAGACTCAAATGCGTTGAGTCGACCAGGCAGTCTGCTCGATGAAAAGGAAAAGAAAATTTTATAATATCGAACTTCAAGTTCGATTTCAAATCGAAGATCCTGAAACACTTTCAAAACTGGAGAACATAATAAATATCAAATCAGCCTTAAAACTGCTGATAATAATACTTATTTTGAATTTAATATTCCGCCGAGAAATCATTTTTTAAGAAAGAAGTCCGGTCTAAAATTGAATCTCTCTGCAGTCTGCACCAATCGACTGCTGAATTTGAATAAGTAGGTAGCAACTTTACACACTTTTAAATAAGACGCTTCTCTACGCCGCAAGTGCGTTTTTTTCTTTGTAAATTTCGAAATGCATTTCTAAGAGATCACATTCTTAGCCATCGAACCGAAATATTAAATCTCTTTAAGCAAGTAAATTTAAAAATGTAAACTAAATTCCTGGTCTCCGACGTAAATAGCCCAGTTGCTGATTGTCGCACAGTGGATTGCGTCCATAGGAGAGTTCGGACATAATTTGGAAACTTTAAAAGCTATATAACTCCGTTTATGAACAACTGTGAGGTTCTGAAAATGGTTCCATTAGTTTCCTCGTAAGAGTTTCTTTTGTAAGCACCTCTTGAAATTTAAAATGTGACAGAATAAACATCAAAATGTACAGTTTTAGTCAAAAATTTCATGTCCAACCTCTCGACGGTGAAACTACCAAACCACGTATCTCGGTTTGTGACGTCGCAGACTTCCTGTCATACTTTATTTTTTAAATGAAAAACTACTTAACGTCCAGTCTTGAAAATTTCTGTGATTTTTCCTCTTCGTGCGGAGAAAATTCTGTGAAAATTTCAAGGAATGATATTGATTTGGTCTACTTCAAAAAAATAAAATGCGAGCGTAGATTTTTAAACACCGCAAACGAGATACGTGGTTTGGTAGTTTCACCGTCGCTCTGCTCTAATTGACTCGATCCACTGTGCGTCGTAATAAATTAACTGGACGTATTTCTATCAAACGGAACTATGTGCATTATGACGGGAGCCCTGTTATGCATGTATTCTTATGGGTCGTAGGCTCATGTCTTGATGCACATAGTTCCGTTTGATAGAAACACGTCCTACTAACTAATTCCATTTCCTTCACATTTCCCGCGGCACAGCTTGGCAATATGGAAATGACATCATTTATGAAGAGGAGTTCAGCACTCTCAGCCAAGTTGGTACTCACTCACACAGAGGCACATTTTAATATTCGTGACTTATTCTACAGCACACAGGCACGTGTGTTGTGTGCCTAACCGAGCTTGGTGGGGGGAGTTGGCGTCGCATCGCGCACACGCTCGTGTGCGACCACGGACAACAGTAGCGCAAGTTGCCTACGCTCCTATCCGCAGGGGCCTTAACCGGAGTTCACTCAACTCGGATGGCCCTGACTCGGGACTCACGTGCCGGAGGGTTTTTTTTAGCCAGTCGGTCAGTCAGCTGATTTACTGAGGTGTATTTCGCATGCTAATTTCCGAAGTCGCACCGCGGATAAAGAATTGAAGGATGGCTTGTACAGACAAGTTATCTTTAGAGACAAAAAATATTCTGGAGATTTATAATGAGCACCAGATAACCAGATGTTGAAAAAAGGAACTGGGGGTTTTACGTGGAAAAGCGGCGATCTCTCATCACTAAATTGGCTTCGTTGATACTGATGGACTTTTAAATGGACGATAACCGATGGATTTTTAAATTGGCCTGTCCCTCGTTACAAAAAAAGTTAAATCCTTCCATCAATACTCCACTAACACAGTGATTCACGGGTAACTGCTAGACTGCAGGAACGTATTTCATGGGTAAAAATGAGGCATTTTTCTTCCATGAAATGTTTTCTAAAAGTGCTTTTTCAGGCGATTTTGACAGAAAAAACTCATGCAAACGCGTGCGCAGCTCTTTTCAAAATGTAAAAATTTGAATAACAATTTAATTTCTTCCGAGGGTTGGATTATGTAGTTTTTGTTCGAGATTTTGCTGGAAAATTGTCTTTCCTCCCATGAAGGAACGTAACTTCATTCCAGAGTTGTAAAATTGACGAAAACGATTTAATTTTTTTACGAATATAAGTATGACAGTGTATCTGTCCAAAATTATGTTGATTTTTGCCTGTAAATCGAAGAAAAATCAGAGGAATCTTCAGCAATGAATGTCCATTGTTGCTTCGTAATTTGCAAGTAAGAACGTCGTACGCTGAAATGGACTACATTTTGGGAAAAAGAACTACTATTTCTAGCTCATTTTAGAAACAACACAAATGCCATTGGATATTCTATGCAGAGAGGTGCTTTTATGGAAGAGCCAGTGATAGTTCGGCTCCTTATTGCAAAATGTCATCCAAATATAGTTACGTTCTTTCATTAAGGAAATATCGGAATGGTTACTAAACGATTTCTTAGTAAGGAGTACGTATGGACCACATTTTGCAATTAGGAATTATAAATTCTAGCCCGGTTTAAAAACAACGTATGTGCCATTAGTTTCCCCGTGCACATGAGTGTTTTTCCAGAAGAGCCAGAATCTATAGTTCCAAATTGCAAAATGCAGTCCATTTACTAGCGGAAATGTAGCAACTTCGTAATTCCTATTTAACGAAAGGAGGATTTCATTCGATTCTGATGTATTTGCTTATGTAAAATCCAGAATTTGAGCAATTTAAAAAAGGCCAGTCCAATCTGCAGCACGGTGATATGATTTCCGATTGTAATTCGTTACGTCGCGTCGATAATGCTACATCCGTTGAAGATAAAGTTACAGATCAGCAATCCAGTCACCAGTGCTTTCTCCGCGCTTTCATACGATGCATCACGCCCTGCATTTACACCAACTGAAGCATGACGTTTCCTCAAGTGGTAACACGGCACCCTATTTCAGAGGACATTCTTATCAACAATGCTGCCGAGCGAAGGAAGAACGCCGTATGAACCTTCGAACGCCCCCAAATTTCCCTCGAGAAATTATTTATTTCTGTGGATGGATATGAAAATTTCCCCTTGAAATTTTCAGGTTCTTTGGATTAAATTCCGAATAAAAATATTCCTGAAATAACGAATTTTATCGGCATTCCCTAACTACGCCCAGAGCTTATGCGGCATTTTTCAATTGCAAAGCAGGATGAGATTCCGGACCAACGAAAAAACTCGATCGATGTCGAATCATTCGTTACGTTTATCTTACGAGAATGAAATACTAACGCCAGTATGTAAACGGGTAGTAAAGCTGAGACTTTGATGATAGAAAGTTTAGAGACCGTGGGTTTTGGGCTATTTTTTAACTCAGCTGCGAGTAAAAAACGTTCGTTGATGCTTATGCAACTCACCACAAATCGGATCTAATCGTTCTAGAGTGACCCGAATTTTAAGGATCGAAAAGTGCCTAAAACTAAAGAAACAAACGAGGGAAACCTATCGTTTCCAATGATATGAATTTTTTTTTTATGCATGTCGTTAATCTATAGTAGAGTGACTGATGGGCAGGGCTTCTTTTTGTATCTCAGAGATACAAGCGATTGAAGTCTTTCAAGACGGATTGTTCTCCTTCAATATAGGAAATTAGAAAAAATCGAAACTTACCGATGTCAAACCTTCAAAAAGTCAAAAAAATGTCTCTTGAAAAAAAAAAATAAATAAATAAAAAAATTGAGCAAGACCTAAAAGGAAAGTTGCTTTCAGTCCACTGTTCTGCAATAAAACGAATTTTGAAAATTTTCATAGTTGGATTGTCTCTGAAACCAACGGATTCAATTGAGAGGTGCGCCGAAACTGCAAAGTATTCAAAGCATAATTTAATTTTTTTTCAAATCGAGCGAGGAGCCTTCAAGACAAAAACTTCTAAACATTTACAAAAAATAGTATGTCTAGGAAGATTTTATTGAGATTTTAAAAATATGAGCTCTATTCTTTAAACCGGACCCTTGCGTCACGAGCTATCCGGCGGAAAGCTTTCACAGATGCATTGATTTCAAGAGAGAATCATGTAACTGTCTGTCAATCAAAGCCACGTGACTATAACACACGAGAAGTTTATTGCACCGGGAACAGGCAAACGACCCCTCTGTACCTTATATGTGCGCTAGGGAAAGAGCCAATTCATGAAATGGGAATGTGCATACTTGTACAAGTGCACTATCTTGTAGTGTGGTAAGCGCCTGGTGCTTTTCCCTTTTTTAAAGAGGAAAAAAGCTCTGCATTTAACCGGTTTTATAGTCATAACGGTGACTGTGGTCAGTATTCATAGTCGGCCCTAATACTGCCGTGTTAAGGAAAAACGCCGTATGAACCATCAGGCGTTGCCAAATTTCATTTGATAAAACACGAAATTCCAGGTTAACTTATGAACATTTTCCTTCCATTTTTTCAGATAATTTTGTTCGGAATGTTAACTAAAGTCCCCGAAAATTACAAGGAAAAATATTCATATCTTTCTTCGAAAATAAAAATTTCATTGGAGGAAATTTGGCAACTCTCGAATGTTTGTACGGCGCTCTTCCTTAGCACGGCAGAACACAGCTCCTTTTCCTATAGTTTAGCCCCGTATGATGTACATTGTGATTAAAGGGGGTTTATGGAAGCCTTTAACGAGGCATTAAAATGAAAATTTTTATAAACCTCAAGTAAAATTCAATAGTTTATATTTAAAATTAGAAGCTTGAAGAAATGAGTCAGTTGCACCCAATATTTCCAATTCATTTTCAGAAATCATGGAGTGAACTAAGCTTCCAGGAACTGCATTTGAATTTCTGTGCGTGTCATTTATGAAGAGAAAAATTCCACGAAAATGACAATCACAGAAAATGACTTTCATTCCATATTTTTTAAAGATGCAAGATCTATTTAATGGGTG